AGTAACATTAAATGCTTTTGATGAGATTTTTTTTTATACAAAGAAAAAAAAAAAACAGCACACAACCTTTTTTCTCTCACGATAAGTTTTCGACCATCTCCCTAAAGTTTAAAAAATGGAGATGAATGAATGTTCTCAAGCAATGTTTTGTTGGTAAGGTTTTTTTTTGGTAAGGGGGTAAACAAAGATAAGATAGGCACGTATGTATTAGTAAAATTTTTCACTAATAAAGATCATCTCTGGACATCAGAACTACTTTTAGACAACTTTTGTTACCGGTTTTTTTTCGAATAAGTCGTAATCGATTTCATATGTAAGTGAAACAATACCCAATATTTCACGGTGAATTTGTTTATCTGTACACAAGAAAGAAATTAAACCATTCGATGCAAGTATATTTATACGAAAGATGCAGTTGATACAAAATAGGTTAAAACTTTATTTTCAAAAATACATGAAATAATACATGCTTTTTTTGTCACTATCAAATTTTATCAGGCATTCAATTTATCCTGATAAACATGTATACATATGTATGTAGTGATAGTAATGTATTTTGGTTCCTTACGAACTTTAGTTTTTCTTAATTATGTGTATTTTAAAAAAGGTTATTTATACGTATTTTTAAGCATCAAGTATTACGTATTACGTATTACGTATTACTGTATTACGTATTACTGTATTAAATATCAAACATTTTTAAGCATCAAGTATTATTAAATATCAAAAATTTTAAGAGTCAAATATCAAACATTTTTAAGAAGCATCAAAATACTTATTAATAAGCATTGTTAAGCATCAATGCGTGAAATTCAATTCACCAAGGTTCCACAAATTTTTTTTTTAACAATTTTCTAACATGGATATTCTAACATGAATATCCTAACATGAATATCCTAACATGAATATCCTAACATTAATATCCTAACATTAATATCCTAACATTAATATCTTAGCATGAATATCCTAACATGAATATCCTAACATGAATGGTTTCTTAAAAAACTTGTTTGTGAACAAATAGTTAGACTATCTTAATTTATCTTAATTTTATCTTAATTTTACCTTAATTTTATCGTAATTTTATCTTAGTTTATCTTAATTTTTAAAAGGAAGGCAGTTGCCTATATGCATGTCAAAACCTTAGGATTCTATTAAAATTGTTGAACACAGAAGTGCATATTCTTAAAGCAATCACATAAGTCAATGATCAAAAACGATCAAATTTTCAAACAAGGCAAGATATACGTCTGGGGCACATGGTTTTTTTATTCGTGAGAATAGATATGAACATTTTGTGTTACATCTTCGTGTGTCAAAAAACGTCAAAATAGGTGTTCACAAGACTTTACCACTTTTGTCAAGTTTTTTTGGTCTATGTGTAAAATGTGATGATGATCGAATGTTAATTACTCGGGTTTTAATAAAAAAAATTTTTTTTTTCCTATTTACAAGTCTTTTTTTACAAAACTTGGAAACATTAAAAAGTACCCTTTTTTGATCATTTCCGTAATTCATCTAAAAAAATTACTTTTGATTTTTTTTTTTTTTTTTTTTTGATTTCGAGAGACACTATGAGTAATCGTTACACCTTTAACTCCATCAATGCAAACATGCATGCAACAAGAGCGTGAGATTACATTAATGCGCTATTAATATAATTTTTTTAGATTATAAAAATCTGGATCTGGATTTATAAAATTGTATATTTGGATATGATTTCCGAACGAAAAACTAGATCTACCAAATCTTCTAATGTTCTTTCTAAAATGTGAACAGTTTTATATGAATATATTTTTTATTACTATTGTACGCAAGGTAAATTAAATTTTTTTGGTGGCTTGATCATTTGATCATTAGAATTTTCTGATACACTTTTTTTCTAGTAATTTCAACAGTCGAATAGTTGGTTGACAGATTTTAAGTAAAATATATATCTTAATAACTTTTAAGGTAAATATTTTTTTTTCGTGTCATGTTACTGATGTTACTGATGTTACTGATTTTGATGTCACAAAAAAGTTCACAAGACCAATTAATTACTTGTTAATGTGTTAATGTGATTAATGTGGGTAAGTTTTGATTTTTTTGTAACAGTTTTTTTTTGTAACAGTTTTTTTGTAACAGTTTTTTGTAACAGATTATTTATTATTATTATTATTGTTACTTTCTGTTATGATAATCTCCTATCGAATTTTATTAATTTTATTAAATTTTATTAAATTTTATTATTAAATTTTATTATAATGAATTATTTATTACCTTTGAAAAATCATCTTATAGAATCATTTCGTATTTACCTTAGTATACAGTACTTACGTACAATAATTATACGTAAGTAAGTACGTACATCGGATCTTCTTTGATTTATAATTACATATAATGATTGCTGTAATATTACACAGTCATTCCCTGTTCATCTGTTAGATTATGATCACCATTCACATTATATATGTATATATTTGTAATCATAGTAATTCGGAAAGTTTAAATATACGCGTTTATATAAAAAATTTAAAATTTTCGTTTTAGTAAAATTAAATTTAAATAATTTTTTTTAAACATACAAATAAAAATCATTCCGTTTATGTATCATAAATAAATCAGTACAGCAGTATGGAATCTACGATTTTATGCTATTCCGATATGTTTTGTCAATTTGTCAACGCATTGGGCAGTTACACTTTGATGGTGATGCAAAAAAAAGGTGATAATCTTACGAGCCATCACCATTCCTGACTTTAATCGACACTTCCGAATTGATTAACTCCTCCGTTTATATTAAAGTTCAAATTTAACACATCGTTTGACATGATATCCACGTACGTACTACCTACCTAAATTGTAAGGTTTTTACTAACTTTTTTTAAATGAAAAAATTTTGTATCAGCTTCTTTGTATCGCCTTTCATCTCACCAAATCTTTAAATGTTTGCGGGATTATTACAAACCTGACTTGTACTACAATATCGGTTTTAATTCTTGCTCGAAGTTTTAATCATATTTTTCTTTTAGTATTTGTGAAACGGTCTCTTGAACATACGGTAAAGTGTGTAAGATAAACGCATGTACATATATATGTATGTACGCAACATTTATTTTTATACCGTATAAATACTAATTAGAAAAAAAAAATAAGTGAGTCATATAAAAGTCATAAATGTTTACCTCCTCTTTGTATATTAAATTCTTATATAAAAATTCATAAATAAATTTGTATATCAGAATTAGATATTATACTGTATTATAAAAAAAAAAAAAAAAAAAAAGACCCAAGTTTACGAATAAAAACCGGTCATTAATCCGGTTGCTCATAAGGTCATGTTGGTCATACACATACTTATACATATATTTTAAATATAAAAAACCTTATTTCAATTTTTATATACATAGTCGTACGTATACCAGATGCTACTGTATACCGGTATATACTGTATTAATATTTTTTTTTTAATAATACTGTATTTTTAAATTTAATTGATGAAACCCAGTTTTTTTTTGGTGATTATATAAAAAATAAATCCCCGCTTTTTGACTTATAAACCTTGATTTACCCAACTACCTCAAATTAACTATCTCAAATTTTAAATTTGGTGATAACGAAAAATTTTCAAGTTTATTTATCGCATTATATAAGTTCAAAACAAAAACTTTAAAGTTATTAAACCAACAAACCATTATATTTATCCCTTTTTATATTTTTTATTCATCGTAAACTTTTTAAAAATTATTCTATTTATACCTTTTCTTTTCTCTTTTTTTTTCTTGTTCTAAAAAAGACCTTTCGTCAATATCACGAATTAGTAGATATTGCTTTTTTGCTTTAACTGCTTTTTGTAGATATTTGAAAATATGACGAATAGTCTCAAGTTTCCTCACCATAAATTGAATAGTTCACAAAATGATGAATTTGTGAACGAAAAAAAATTAAAGAAAAAGTCCAAAAATTCAAATAAAAAAAATAAAGGAAGAAAAAATAAAAATGGTATGTCTTTTTTTTCTTAAAATAATTTTATATAAATTTAGATTTTTAAAAAAACCTGTTGAAAAATTTTTGACGTGCAAATATTTTCTAGTTTTTATCATAAATTCATTCTTTTATTTGTTATTCTTTGATGTTATATGCGCTTTTTTATTTGCCTTCAAAGTAATATATTTAATATATTTCTCTTTCTTTTCAAAAATTCTTTACTTCTATTAGCCCATTCGACCGTGCCTTCAAATATACCTATAGACTGTAAAGAACAACCGGTGCTCGTCCACTCCTCCGAAAATATTCCTCCAAAAATTTGCGTGAACAATTATATTCCGCGGTGTAATGAACAACTACCTATAGCTAAACCAACTAAAGCATTAGAGGATCAAAATCGAAAAGATTCTGAAAATACTGATTCCTCATGCGAGAAAAAATGTCTTTTAGATGAAGCAAACATAATTGAGATAAATTTACCACGAAATCATAATTTCTCTGTCCGTTTTCATCGTATTATAAAAATTGATGAATTAGGAATAATTACGATAAAGTTCATTTATCCTGACAAACCAGATACTTATAAAGTTATATATCCTGAATCTGATAATATCAATCAATGTAATACTAGTGAAATTGATCAACTTCCTTCAATCATACCGGATTATTACGTTATCAACCTTCATGGTATGAAATTTCCTCTACTAGTATATCCTAATTCTGATGAATGCGGAAAGCCGATGGCGATTTCGACAGCTCCTTATTCAACTTATTCTCCTTGTTCTGATTATGTTGTACGGGCTGAATCTGAGCAAATTTCCACTTCTGAAACTTCAAATTCTGTTTCTTCAAATTTTATTCAATCTGTTAATACAACTGAAAATAACAACAACATCAACATCAATAACAACACAAACTGTGATTATAAACTTTATATGACTCAAGACTGGGTTTCCAATTCAAGAATAAATTCACATGAACAATTATCTTTTGATAGAGGTCCTTCTCTAGAAAATTCTGTCTCATTTAATATGTGTCCCAAAGAACGATCACGTATGTCTCGTGATCACGTGTCCTCCGTGATTTCGGATTCTCAATCAAATATAAGTACCTCTAATTGTTTGCTTGATGCAAATAATTCTGATTTTGAAATAAAATCAAATGTTCAATCTACAATTGATTCTTTTCTAAATGAACAATTATATGATGTACGAGATAATGTACAAAATTCCTCTATTGATGATATTGATTATGATGATAATGATTCTACGTTGAAATTGAAATTACCTCCTCATGGTTCTTATCAGTCAAATCAAGTCAATGATTTCAATAATAATAATAATAACATTATTATTGATAAAAGTTGCTCAAATGATTATACATTTCAACTACCAGAAACTGAAATTGTCTCTTCATTCGAATTGGATTTACCTCCTGAAGATTTAATGGTCAAGTTACCAGCTGGTTCTGATAAACAATTGAAAAATCTTTCAAAAGCTTCCGTACCAAACATTGTTACAAAGAATCTTCCTACAAAATTTGTTGAAGAAGAAGAATATATTGATGATGATGGTTCTGAATTACCTAGATCTCCTTTATCATCTCCCCATTCCACTATTTCTTCTACTTCTTTTTCAATGTCTGTACTTTCAACTTCTTCTTATGCTGAAACAACAAATACGGTAATATCAACTTTTTCTACACATACTACTGTTGATAAATCAATTCTTTCTTCAACCTATTCCGCTTCATCGTCACTCAACCAGTCTCCAGAACTCAAAGCTAATTCTATTAATGAAGATCATATCGCTGATCAATGTATTGATGAAATATCATATAAGCAAGATAATAGTAATTTATACTATTTATCAGAACGATCTATGTCACCTGAACATTTATCTCCAGTCATCGAAGAAGATGAGACTCTGATCCCTGTACAAAATAGTCAAATGTCTACATTAAATGATTATGATCTAAAGGAATTAAATTATTCCGAGGATCATCATATTGAATCACATACTCAGGATGATAGTGATTTTGAACAGTCATATGATGAAATTCAATATGAAGAGGTTGAACAATGCCCTGAACTAGATGCTATTTATGAATATCTGCAAACTCTAGATCCTAATAATAATGAAGCGGAACGTATTAATCATCAATTACAGAAAATTCGTGAAGTACCTTACCCCGTAGAACTTCCTTTATCTAATTCTTGGTAAGTAAACTTTTTATTTTTACTATTTATTTTATATTTATTAAAATATAATATTAAATATATATAATCTTTATTTTATATAGGACAATGTACTATGTTGATATCTCGTCCTCTAAATCCCATGCCAGGTCAACTTCAAGAAATAAATATTCGTCCACATTACATTCAGTATTTAATTGTTCAACTGTACCTGAATTATGTGAACAATATAAGGCATTGACCTCGTATATTAAACCTAGTGATTTGAAAAGTGATTCAAATCTAAATTTTTTTAAAAATGATATTCAACCTTTGTGGGAAGATGAGCACAATGAAAAAGTAAATTTAATTTTCCTTATATTCAAATATTTTTGTATTTATTTATTTATTTATTTATTTAATTAACAATTACTTTTTTTTATTAATAGGGTGGTAAATTAACCTTAAGTCCTCCTAGACATCAATTAAATAATTTATGGGATACAATCGTTATGCTCCTTGCGGGTGATATTATTGATAGCGGTGACAATATTTGTGGTGCTATATGTGCTCGTCGTAGTCGAGGAGATCGTGTTGAAATATGGATTGGTAGTCAGGCAACTGATGAAGATGTTGATGAAATAAAGTTAGTATATTCATGATTTTTTATTCCTAAAAATTTTTGAACTTAAAAATTAATATTAAGCTAATAATAAAAATTTTTGTTTTAGGAAAGGACTCGCTGTAGAATTAGGGTCTAAAGATGTACTGAAAGTACGTTATAAGAAGCATTACGAGAAGTAATTTATTGTTCCTTTATGCATAACTTCAAGAGATTTTGTATGAACTATCATTACTATAACTTTGGTTATTTTTTCTTTATTTTGTTTGTTTTTTTTTTTTGATTGGGATCATTTTATATTATGTATGATCCACAATTGTTGTATATATTAATAAGGGGATAAAAAATGATAAAAACAGTTAATATGCTAATATAGACTAGGGAATATCCTGATAGTAAATAGTAAATACTTATTATACACCTCTCAAAAATGTTTATATAATTTTTACTCTTTTTTTTTTTTTTTTTTTAAAGCTATTATATTTTTATAACTCTAAAAATGAAAATTTTCAAGTTAAAACAAAACAAGGCAATTTATAATAATAATTTTTTTTTTTTTTTTTGTTCGCATATAGTGTAATATTTCTCGAACTTTAATTTTTTTTATTATTTTTTTTTTTTCTTTGTACAAATTTTTTTTTTTTTAAATTTATTTTTCTTGCACAATTTATTAAGCATAAAAAGAAGAGTATTTCTATTTCATCTTTTTTTTCCTTTTTTTTTTTTTATAAAATACAAATTGAACTCCTTTACTTTAAAATTTAATAAATGTGATGCTAAAAAAAAAATTATTTGAAAAGTACATATAAAGGTAAATGCAAGAAAAAAATAAACATATCGTGTATAGCCGGATTTGCATTTACATATATAGGTAAATGAAAAAAAAAAATAAATGTATAGTCACATTGACAAATTTAATGTTTCGCAATCTTAACAAACTATAAACAAAGATTGATTACTCAAATCTTTATAACAAATAATGTTTCCTCAAAGGTATCTAATTCGTAATGTTGCATAAATTCATACTCATTCAGAAATTCAGAATGTCCAAACTATTTTTAACATCTAAAATAACATACGTAATGATATTAATATTACGACAATCATATAACCAAATTCAACCGGAATTAGCTTATATATACTTTATAGAATAAAAATTTTATCGAAATTTAGTTTTGTTATTTTTGCAATATCGATAGTGCTATTTTAGATACAAGACATAGCTTGACATGACTCCCTACTCTCTTTATACTATTATACTGTATTAGTAGACTCGGTCATTTCGTTGGTTCAGTCATTACGCGCATTATTATAATCGTGTCGTATTTAATCTGGCTGATAACGATAATCTTAAATAATCTATATTAAGTCATTTTGTAAGAATTTCTAGCATTTAATTTAGACTTATGATCAAAAGTCATAAAACTATATCGATATGACCAAAGGTCATATCAAAACATACTAAATACTCCGTCATTATATCAAGATCGCTGAGGTATACTGTATATTAGTAAAAATACCTTGATTCTTATTTGGGTTCTACCACTAAAATTTCGAAAGCCATTTTCTCGAAAGAACATAATATCGATTAAATCGGCCAGCATTATATCTAATGCCGGTCAACAATCTTCCTAGCATAACCACCACGATCAGTTACGTATCGTATTTCTGCGACATGTGTACCCAGGGTATTCCCCTAGTTCATAAATACTTCTATGTTTTTAATATGTTTTACTATTACATGCCCGGGTATAAAAGTATGTTACCCTTACACTTATATACCCAGGTATAAATCAAGATTTGGCATCCAAAATCGCCGCAGGGTACAGCCCACAGGGGTACACATGTCGCAGAAATACGGTAATCGCTGTTTAAAATTTGATTATATACTATATCATAAAATGTTCATGAATTCTAGTTTACCAATAAAAAGTATTTTATTTCGTGTGTTCCGGGTTCTTGGAGATTTTTCGCGTCCATCATTTTTGAATTGACGTAAATTTGATTCAATATTTTTCAACCATTTTTTTGGTTGCGGAAGGTTACAATACTTTTCAAGAAGGTCGAGTGTCTATGTCAGTAGTATTGATATCAAATTAGATATTTTTATTTATTATACTGCATAATTTAATTTGATAAAAACAATAAATAGGTTATACTTAATAATATAGAATTTTTTTGTATTGATCTATAATTTCCAATTCACCTTCTTCACTTGATTCGTCATTTTTTACAATATTATTATCGGATTGTTATTAATAATAGATGAAGTAATCATTATAGAAAGCTGCGCATCATCAGGTGATATGCGAATTTTCTTCCAATGGTTTTTTTTTCGGCTTCTTCAATTAATAGATAATACGAATTCCATTGAACCTAAATTGAAAGTTATTAATATGTATACGTTTCTAAAATAATAAACTTATCGCTGAAAAAGATGCTTCTGTATTACGTTGTTTAGAATTATCTAAACCTTTTTTTGCAGTGCCTCATAATCTCAATCGCTATTAAGTTTGAATGTTGATTCATCAATATTTCTAATTTTATCAATTCGATTTGGAAGGTTTATAATTGCATTAAGATCCATTCATGCACTTTCTTCTCCCATATTATCCATACTTCAGGTTCTATAGCACTTTCTTGCATATTATTCATATTATGCTTCTGTTTTTTGCCTTTATTTATGCGAGTTAAGCATTCAATACACGATCCTTTATTGGTTTTAAATTCATTAATGTTTTATTACTCAGCAAGACTAACGTTTTTTTTTTTGAATTCGATTGGGTTGAATAATCGGACTAGCTCTTAGGCCCGGGCGTTGCCCCGGGTATGAGGTTCTAATTTTTTTAATTCTTAGGCCTAAATTACATTAGCTCTCAGAGCCCAGGTGTTGCCCCGGGTCTGAGGTTCTAACTTTTTTCTAATTCTTAGCCCTAAATTATATCAGCTCTCAGAGCCCGGGCATTACCCCAGATATGAGGTTTTTAATTTTCTTTATAGGGGTTTAAATAACCTAGTCTAGATTTAAATAACCCCATCTTATATTTAAATGAACCCGCCTTGGGTTCAAATGAACCCGTCGTTGGGTTCAAAAGAACCCGTCATTGGGTTCAAAAGAACCCGTCATTGGGTTCAAAAGAACCCGTCATTGGGTTCAAAAGAACCCTTCTTGGGTTCTAAAGAACCCTTCCTGGGTTCAAAAGAACCCGAATTGGGTTCAAACGAACCCAGATTGGGTTCAAACGAACCCGGATTGGGTTCAAACGAACCCGATTCGGTTCAAACAAACCCGAATTTGTTTTAAAATTATTATTTATAATAGATTTCATGACAATGAACATTGTAAAAGGGTGGATTTATTTAAATTGTAGTTTATTTTTAATTTTTTTAAAAATTTTAATTTAACTTTTTTTTAATTTAACGATTTTTTTCTTTAATTTAATCTTTTTTTAAGTTAAAAAATCTAAGATTTTTTTTTCTTTAATTTAATGTAATTTAATAGGGGTTTTTTTAATTTAAGAGTTTTTCTTTAACTTAGTAGTTTTTTTTAATTTAATATTTTTTCTTTAATTTGACTTTTTTTAACTTTAATTTAGTGTTTTTTTTTAAAAATTTAACGGTTGATTTTTTTTTTCTTTAATTTAATATTTTTTTTAATTTTAATTTATATTTTTTTTAATTTAACTTTTTTTATTTAGTAGTTTATTTTTTATTTAATTTCACGTTTTTTTCTTTAATTTAATTTTTTTTAAACTTTTTTTTCTACTTTAATTTAGTGTTTTTTTTTTCTTTATTAATTTAACATTTTTTAACAGTTTTTTTCTTTAATTATTAACCTACTTTTTACTTTAATTTAATGTTTTTTTTTTAATTTAATTTTTTTTTTTTAATTTAGCTTTTTTTCTCATTAATTTAATTTTTTTAATTTAACTTTTTTCCTTTTTTAATTAAATTTTTTCTTTAATTTACTCTTTTTTTCTTTAATTTAACTTTTTCTTTAACAGTTTTTTAACTTTTTTTTATTTAATTTAATGGTTTTTTATTAATTTAATGGTTTTTTTATTTAATTTAATACTTTTTTTTATCTTTTTTTAATTTAATCTATTTTTTTTTAATTTAACATTTTTCTATTTAATTTATTTTCTTTAATTTAACTGTTTTTAATTTTTTTTATCATTTTTTTTTTCTTTAATTTCTTAATGTTTCTTTTTTTTTAATTTTTTTTTAATTTTTTTAATTTTCTATATACGTAATCACGTGATCTTAATTTCGTGTCACCGTCCCAATTTCGTGGGACTTCAAAGGCGTGAAAGTCACGTGACTTCGCCCAACAAAATTTTAAACTCCGATTAGACAAAGTTTGAATTTTGCTAATTTCGTGGGCATGCAAAAAGCAAAGTCACGTAATCTCACCACTTGATCGGAGTTTTAAATCTCTGACCCGATTGAGGTTCTGCGAAATGCCTGGGGGAGGTAGTGATGAAGATTTTTAAAGAATTTCTTAAAGGGTGGGCCTAAGATATCACTAATTTTTTTTAATATAAAACATTACACAAAAAACATAGTGACCAACAACCACCAAATATTAAGGGGAGGATTCCATTAGTAAAATATTTTGTAAGAAAATTTTTAAACGACACTGTTACAATATATAAACAGACATCGTCATTATTAACTCATTATTAACTATGACTGATATATTGCATTATTAAAATTTCGGTACGTAATTGATTATGATGGTTATGCTAGGTTTGTGCCGGCCAACTTTTGTCAATATTATATCCTTTCAGGAATCTGTCTTTCGGGGTTTCATAGTAGAATCTCTTATTTGTACAAACTATGTATACCTAACGGCTCAGAATATTTTTATTTCATAAATTGTCCAGTGATTTTTAGTTGCTTTTAAAATACTTAAAAATATTGATTAAATAATAAGTCAAAAATAAACTATATAGCTAAAATTAAGTTGAAAAAATAAAAAACACAAATTTGATTTGCAAAGATATAAACAAATAAAATTTCTTAAGCGGTGATAAAAGTATAGACAATTTCTTATTACTATATTACTATATAGTATACATTTATTACTTTAAAACTAATAAAGCAAAAATCTTATAATTAAAACTACAGTTTATACTAGTTACAAAAATTTTTAAAATTCTAGTTAATTAATATATTTTTT